AATTTATACTAGGCAATAAGAGGAGCGAGGCTCTAAGAAGTCTGCCTTATCGCCATAATAACATATATACTAGGTGATAAGAGTGAGCGAGGCTCCGAGAAACCTGCCTTATCACCGTAATAATATATATTAGGCGATAAGAGGAGCGATGTCGAACGCATTGGTCCCATACGGGGACCCTCTCGGCCGCGTCACGCAGAATTTTGCAGGACTTTGTCGCAAAGCGTTTTAGCCGCTCTGGCCGAGTGCGTCAGCCGTACCTCTCGCATGCCACTACGACAGGACAGGATCGCGCGAGGCACCGCTTACCTCCACCTGTGGGAGCTGTCACCATCCCTTGGGTGGGCGTATCCCCCCCGAGCTACTGAACCACATGCGAAAGCTTTTCGTATGCAATTGCAGAGGTGGCCCAGCCGAGGGAGTTTCTCGTTCGCTGTAGCATAGGGGGTTGCGCGCGTTCGAATGCCCAAGAAATCGAACCCGCACGCGAATCGACGTTCTGGGAGCTGAGGTCCCAAATGCGACTCGGCGCCTGTCGACTAGGACACATCACGCACACTACTCGTACACCACAACACTCACATCTAAACACACATAACACATGGAAATACACAAAACAGACATTATGAACGGCGCCACAACACCACAATACTCCTAGTCCTTTCAGTATCCGACCCATAATTTTGTGTCGTGAGACTCAGATAGGAATCGCGTGCTGGATTTTTGTATAAGAACTGTGCGGGCGCATGACCTCTTCATATCAACCAGCCATGCGGGCATAAGCAAGCACTCACGTTGATGGGGTACTATGTGGTACTCGTAGCCTCGCGGCCGTTGATAATCTCGAGGGTCWCGTTCGACACTCAAGTGTCGGCTGACAGGCGCTTTGAGGGGTAATCTCTCGACGCCAGACAACTGCCATGTGCGGTTGAAGACTATACCCTCTTCTGCACCCTGTGCAGAGGGGTTGAGTAGACAGCTTTAGGGCTGTCGTGGTAGCCAAAATCAAGGGGTTTGACTTTGACGGCTACCACGGACTACAACGTCCAACCATAAAGACTTTTAAGGAGGAAACAACTGCAGATAGTCTGATAGTCGTTCCAAAAGGGAAGGGTAGGCCAACGCGAAAGATGCGTGCGGATGATGCCCAGACTCAGATCCACGGGCAACGCGATGTTTGAGACTTTTGGAGGCTCGTACACGGGTCCCCATATGCCGACTAGGCTTATTCCCTTGCTCCTGCGTCGTTTCGCGCGGCCGAAACTTGGGTCTACGGGCTGTGACGCGCTTTTGCCCTCTTCGCTCGTCCCATAATTTTCGAGCACATAAATTGGTAAGTGTCGCGCGCATGGGTTAACATAAATCTACGTGGACGCAGAACCTACGCATACCGACCAACAATGCGGATTTGCGTAAGCAAATCGTGATGTCGACGCATTATGTGACACCCATACCCGAGTGGCTTTTTTTGAGCCATGGGGTCGCTCTCGACGCTCAGGCGTTGGCTGAAGCGCGCGCTAAGTGGGGGTAAACCTTTAGCAAGCGCAGAACCGGTCTGAGGGCCTTACCACCATCTGCACCCTGAGGTGTCCTAAAAGGTGTGGGGTAAGATGGTCCCTAGGGCAGGAAGGGGTTCGGAGTGGTGATGAGTTGTCTGGCGCACCACCAGCGACACGGTAATCCTTCCACCCGGAACTTTATCGTTCCACCAAAACAATCTACAACAAGGAAAACGAAAAAGCGAGTATTTGACGCTGAAAGGTGAAAACCTGATTACCCGTGTGTACGCCCACTCTGACTATCACTTTATCAGGATGGGAAAAGACAATCTCACTCAAGCAAAACGTTGTGGGGTAATTCACTCTCACGATAGTTAGGTGGTTTGCTCATTTAAACTCAAGACATAATCATTCACCATATATTTAATCGAGTTCCTCCCATACATACCTGCATTCATCCGACATTTAAACAACATCACATACACTAAAGGGGTCAACTTTTCAGCCTTCTGCGGCTCATACCCTGCC